GAGAGAGAGAGAGAGAGAGAGAGAGAGAGAGAGAGAGAGAACAAAATCAAATGAATCCACCGCTAGAACATGGAAATATACATTGCGCACATGCGCGCAGCACACCAGACGTGCACAGCGCAGCGTGCACTGCGCACCCAGATGCGCAGCGCACCCTAGGTCCGCGCACAGCGCACTGCGCAGCGCACAGTGCTGGTCCGCCGCAAGGTTTTTTTTTTTACTTAATTTTTGACGCAAAAACAATTACCCCAAAAAGCGGGGCATGAAGTAGGCCTTCTGGCCGTGGCCGTGGCGGCCGATTTGGCCGTGGCGGCCGATTTGGCCATGGACTAGGCCGCGGATGTCACATAGCACATGGGTGATCTGCAAATGACTGACCAACAAACAACCCAAGGCATTTTGGTTTTGCAACACCATCTGGGTGATCTGCAAATTGTTGGACAGCATCCGACGCACCAGCCTGAGATCATCACCAATCTTTGTGGTCTAAGGACAACTAATATCTGTCTTCTTATCCTCCACTGCCTGTTTTATACACCATCAGACTTCCTTGCAATCGCCCTTTAAGTTGATGTTGATCGCACCCGCTCACAGCTAGCGGATTGTAATTATACCAGGGAAAGAGGCTTTACCACTGTCCTACAAGTAGCAATGAAGGACCACCAACTTGAACTATGCAATGCTCGAGCACGTGAGTGGTTTAATCCTCCATCCCACATCTCTGCCTGTATTGTGCATGGAGCTGGCCATTACGTGGCCGTTGTACACGCCTCTGACCACTAGGAGCTGTGGGACAACGGCGTCATGGTCCGTGCCATGACTGATGTTACTGATTTCTTACATAATGATGTTTTTTTCTTGCCGCATCAAACTGTCTGCAATCTCTTTTATGTCGACCCTGTGCTGCAGCAGGGCAATGTACCAACACTCTGCTTGTTTTTTACACAAGAAGTCCAAGATCAACTCACTAGAACCAAAGAGGTGGATCACTTAACCAATAGGGAAGTGAGCTGGGATGAAAGTGAAGCCCCGTGAGGGACATTTCACCCCACCCCAGCATGGATCAACCATGACCTGGTGTACCCAGACTCTACTCGACCCGAATGCGCGTGAGGGACAACTCACGACACCGACCATACTTAGACCAAGCACTACCGCTTTTTACACAAGAAGCCTTTGATCAACTCACTAGGAGTCAGACCTACGACCTACCACCAAAGAGGTGGATCAATTAACCAATAGGTAAAGTGAGCTGGGATGAAAGTGAAGCCCCGTGAGGGACATTTCACCCCACCGCAGCATGGATCAACCATGACCCGGTGTACCCAGACTCTACTGGACCCGAATGCACATGAGGGACAACTCACGGCACCGACCAGACTTCAACCAAGCCAGCCTTCGCCTTGGTTGAAGTCTGGCCGGTGCCATGAGGATCAACCATGACCCAGTGTACCAACACTCGGCGACCTTCTCCTTTGCACGTCCATTTTGCCGCCATGGGCGCTATACTGCATGGATGGTCTTTCGTGGTGAGCGTTCTTCCTTCATAGTGGCCTGCAACTGACAGGTCATTTGTCGGCAGTGTATGGTGGTCATGCTCAATGCCAGCGGTTGTGACAATTGGTGTACTGAGAATGCTCAGCTAGGTCTTCCATGTGCTGCATCCACCTCATTCTTACAATGTGTGCTGTCTTTGTCGTCAAGGACATACTTTTCTTATCCTCTCCTTTGCCTTCATCTTCATTCCACATTCTGTACATTTCCTTACTTTCCCGTTTTCATTCTTTGTTTGTCTTCTCTTCATCTCTCTTCCCTGTGTTTATCACCTCCCCCTCTACTATGCCTCTTTCTCACAGCGTACAAAGGGGGCCGTTATGGCACACGGGGATCTGGGCAGTTTGTGCTCAACTTCATCAACGTGGTGAGCCTTGTACGTGAGAGGGCACGGTGAAGGGGGAGTTAAAAGAAGAATGAGAAAAATGAATGGTTTCAGTGTGGCCCTCATGTTTGTCTTGTTTTTTCATTGTTGCCGTTTGTTTCACAAAGTGCACTCTTTTAGGTCATAGTTATGTTACTTACGTAACAATATACCCCTTGTTTGTTGTCCTCTTCTCCCTCTCTGGCGAAGGTTTACCGGACAGTTCTGTTTGATGATGCCTATATAATTATTATATATTATCATAATATAATTATGATATAATTATTAGATTATGATAATCTATATCTATAAAGTATATTCATATATATTTATATTTTCATAAGAGTATGTTGGATACACAGTTGTAGTATCTACTACCTTGTGTGCTTTTCTCTACCATCTTTCCTTCGATCTGCACCCACACCATCCACTCCTAGTCCACCCTAACTGATTCTCTCTTCAGAGTCTTCAAGATATTTTTAATGATTTGCTGCAAACGTTGACAAACTACTTATAGCTCGGCATCATTTTCTCCTGTGTGTACTATGTTCCTTTTTCCTTTGGTTATGACTAGCCTACTCCGCCTCCTATCTCAAAATCAGGATGGGGTGTGGAGACGGCAGAGATGGCTGCTACTACCTTCAATTTTGGCTTGGATAAAGATGCTTCAGCTGTGGTTGCCCGACCAGGAGGACGGCGAGCTTCTGTATTGACCGAGGGGTACGTTTTCACTTAAATTTCAAACAGGCAAAAAACGGAAGGCTTGCATTCCCATGTAAGCTCCTCTCTCCCTCTCTCTTTTCTTTTTTTTTTTGGTCGTAACTTCGTAAGTTGAGACCTGAGCCTTCGACATGCCCAAGCATGAGGAAAGAAATGTCAAGAAGAAGGAAACACATTTGAGATGGAACAGAAGGCAGAAAGTTCAAGAAAGAAAAGAGAGAAGATTGTGCCCTCACTAATCAATCTCTCAAGACTAGCAATGGAGAGCCCACTGTTGCCCATGTGTGTGTGTGTGTGTGTGTGTGTGTGTGTGTGTGTGCTTAGCAGAACTTTGCTGAGGCCTGATGTCTAAACCACCAGTATGTTTCCCAGCTATTTTGTCCAGATGCCAGTTAACCCGCCACAAAATCGCGTGTCAGCCCACAGGACGGAGGACACTGGCGTTGCCTGGCAGTTTCATGCCTGCGCCGGTTCAGATGGACTTGGTGTGTGATGGAAACCCGAAACTCGGACGTACCCATTTATTTTGTTCGGACGCGGCGGTTAACATCCTGCATAACAGGGCTCAGCCTATCGGAACAAAATGGCTGGTGGCACCAGGCAAAAATAAAATACTTGGTGCCCGTGCTGCTTAGGTTTCTTTTTGCCTCACAGCAGCAATCCGAGTCGGGAGAAAGAGGCTCGGAGGGACTGGTGGTTTAAGAAACTTAAATGTCAGGCCTTCCAAAACTACCCCACCAGTCTGTAAGTACGGGACTCAAAAGTACCCAGGCCTGGGTGTGGTACAGATATTTGTGCCCGTGCTGGTTAGTTTTCTTTTTGCCTCGCAGCAGCAATCCGAGTCAGGAAAAAAAGGAGGCTCGAAGGGACTTGTGGTTTACGAACAGACTTGGAAACTTGAATGTCTACCGCAGATTGTGGAGGGCGAAGCAGCAGAATCGGTCAAGCAACTGGTCCAAGCCGAGATCTTGAATCACTGGCAGGAAGCTAAACAGAAGATGAATTTTGTTCACGCGCGACAGGACACAGACCAAATCATTACAATCTTCTGCAAGGAATGGTTGGAAGGCAGTAGGGGGGGGGTGGATGGCAGAGGTGACATGGTCCGGCGATGTTCCCCAGCATTCGGGGTTGGGGGAGGAATGGGGGGAGGTAGGGGGGGAGGTGCCTAGGGACTACAGACTACTCTTTCAAGACTGGGTGGTGGTCGATCTCAGAATCCCGCTGAGATCAGCAGCGGCGTTCCCGGACCCCTTCTCCCCTCACCCGCTCGCTCTAATGGAAACAGTGCAAGGGGTAGTCTAGGAGGATGCTGGCCCCGGTTTCTAGCACAAAGGTTCAACCTAGGTAATCCAAGGGACGCTGAGCCCGATTCTCAGCACAAGTAGTTTGGCATCGCATAATAAATCGGACAAGGGTAGCTCGAGGATGGCTCAGAGATAGGAGACCCTGGCGGGCTAGGAAGGAGCCACTGGTGGCCCCCTGTGGCTCCCTCGATACCCAACCAGGTCAAGGGTTAGGGTTGGAATTGGGAGAAGGGCCACCATGGGACCCTGGACCTGGTTTCCAGCATGGTGATCTTGTTTGATGGTTCATGCTCAAAAAAGATGTAATGGGACGCTGGAACCAGTTTCCAGCAGGTGACACTCCCCACCAATAGGGTGCTAGCAGTGTGTGCTCATATCAACACTGCTAGCACCTAAAAGGGGTGTTTAAAAAAAAATTAAAAAAAAAAGGGCCTACCAACTACCCCAGCAGCCTGTGAGTACAGGACTCGAAAAAAGAGGCCGGTACTGGTACCAACCTGGAAATGGCAGGTACAAGTAATTCCAGCCTGATCTTGCTATATATATATATATTGTTGCATTGGTCATACTACATATATATATAGTCGTGAAACTCCGACGAAACAGTTTGTCACAGCCCCTCGTTTGTTGTCCTCTTCTCCCTCTCTGCCTACGGTTTACCGGGCAGTTCTATTTGACGATATATATATAGTCGTTCTCACATTGCCAAAGCAACATCTCATCCCCCCACACTACCACACGACAACCGCACTCCCTTCACTCGGTGCACAGGGCTTAGAGACACCTTAAACAACACTTTGCTATTGTTCCTGTCGACAAGACCTCACATAACTTGGCAATCTGTTGTAAAAATTGGTACCCGTCTCATCTATCTGCTCATTTGGACAGCCCTACCTATGATGTGCCTCTTGAGTATATCGCAAATATCCTGGAACATCACGCGCTCTGGAATCATCGGTGGGGATATACACACAAAGACACGCTGCCATATCTGCACTAAGCGCACAAATCGCCCCCTGGGCTTCACAGTATTGTCGGCATCACGGAGCGGAATAATCTCTCCCTGCCGCAGCGATCTCGATCAGTTGCGCCATCTGTTCATGCAGTCCACCATCGACCTCCCCACAAACCCTTGGCCAGTACTACCGTTGCTTCTGCCCGCCTCAACGTTGCACTACAAGGAGTCATTGAAACTCTCCGTGAGAAGGATAATGTGTTGTATCAGCAAAGCGGTGTGAGACGATGCTGGATCGTGCAAACCACTGAGGAGGTGATGCTTGATCTCAAACGTAATTCCTCTTCTCTTCGTGACCATGCTGCTCGCACTGTTGATTTCACAACTATGTATACCAATCTTCCTCATGACCGTATTCGTCATAATGTATCAAAAGCGGTTGAAGAAGCCTATACATATGCCTTACAACAACACGCACAAGGGCGCACACATCCTCCTACCCTTAACATGATTGTTAAAGGGCCCCGTCAAGGGGAGTGGACGGTTGATACCGGACCAAACACCTTAACCGTTTCCCAAATTCTTGAACATCTCCATTTCATTGTGACAAACACGTATTTTTATGCAACGGATGACACCTTGCGACATCAGCTGATTGGCATCCCGATGGGGACTAATTTTGGTCCGGAGATAACTAATTTGACGTTGTATTGGGATCATGCTCGATTTGTTGATGACCTCCAGAAGTGTGATCTTCGAGCAGCTCAATGGTATGCGTTCACATACCGCTTGATCGATGATGTTCTCTCATGGGAACATCTGCCACCACCGTCAGAACACTATGGCCTCGAATGGAAGGAGACCACAGCTCCTGATGACTCTTGCACATTCTTAGGTGCACGGCTCCAAGTCCGCCCTGACGGCTCCCTGCGTATGAGTGTCTTTGACAAAGCAGCTGAATGGAATTTCCCTGTTATTCGTTATCCTAGTGCTACGTCTAACATCCCTGCACACCAACGGGCGGGAGTGTTTACAGGCCAGCTTACTATGTTTGAGTATGCCTGCAACAACTGGTATGATTTCAAAACTGTCGCAGCAATGCTCACACGCCGCATGCTTTTTCGCGGGCACTCTCCAACAACGCTTGCGAAAGGATGGACTTCCTATATTCGTAAACGTCAACAGAGGTACCCTGCGCACGTGACCCGCCTCTCCAGCTAGTTCCGCAACATGCTTCGATGGTCTATTCGTCACCCGCTTTCTCAGGTATCCACACACTGTCCTCGGACTACGCCTGTCACAACCCCTTCTTCATTATCGGCGCCTGTCACACCTATCACAACCTCTTCTTCATTACCTGCGTCTACCGCACCTGCGTCCTCATCAGTCTTAGTAACCCCTTCCATGATGTTTGTGACCCTGGCTGCCCCTTTTCGGTTCGCAGCCTCTTCCTCACCGGCCTTGGTTGCTTCTACGATTGATTCCGCGGGAGCAACTCGACCCGCAACTGCTGTGTCGCCCTTGGTCTCGGTGTGTTCCTCCATGGCATCCGGTGCCACTGCAGCTGTTGTGTCGCCCTTGGTCTCGGCGTGTTCCTCCATGGCATCCGTGACCACGGCAGCTTCTTTGTCGCCCTTGGTCTTGGTGCGTTCCTCCATGGCATCCGCGACCATGCCTGCATTACCACCTGAAGAGTCCCCTCTTTGGGTCTCACCTACGACTGCCCCCCTTGTCTCTGCTTCAGCTACTTCACCACCCCTGACTTCATCCCCCCCGTCTTCACCTCCTATATTTCCCCTTGTTTTATTGTCGTCTGTTACCCACCTTCCGACAATTCTACCACCCCTGTCTTCACCACTCTTACCTCCCCTGGTTTTGTCTCCATCCGTTACCCCTCTTCCTAGTCCACAAACCACTTTGTCCACACAGACTCCGTCATCGTGTTCTGCCCCTGCAGAAAGCCTACTTCGTCGTCCTAGACGCCGACTTCGACCTACTTCCCAACCTCAACTTACTCCCCTTTCCTCCATCTCTGTTCTTGGACAAAGAAGAACCCGTTCATTCTCCCCACCACGGCCCTCCCCAACATCTCGTCCTCGTATTTTGCCGCCCCAAGCATCCTTACCACGTCTGCAACGCTCTTCGACTGCAGACCTTTCTGCAACGTGGCAAACACAAAACAAGAGGGATGATGGCGAGGGGCTATCCGAGGATGAACTTGACAAGGGGACTGTAGGAGATTCTGTAGAAAATCCGGCTGACTGGCCTCCACCGAATCTGTATGGCCTCGCTGCTACTAACATCTGCCTACAAGCCTATCGTCGGGAACCATATACTCACTCTGATTTCTTGGCCATCGCTTCCGATCTTAATGCTCAGGAACGTGAGTTATATGGCGATAACCCGACTCCGCATCCCCCACAGGATAATAATTACACTCGACATGGGGGATTCAATGTCTCTGTTTTGGAGACTGCTTTGATAAGGTGCCGGCTTGATATGAAGCGTGCCTCTTCGAGTGGCGACCCGGACCATTGTTCGCATGTTTGTGCCTATATTCTACATGCTCCTGGCCTCTACACCGCTCTTGTCTATGCCTCTGGTTCTTGGGAATTATGGAATGGCGGTGCTATGGTGCAAACTATTACTGCCATCTGTGATCTCATGAGTACTTACCCTAACCTACAACTGTTCCAGGTCATTGACCCTATGGGTACCTCGTGTACTTCCATGCCCGCCTCTACGCCTATCTCTGTGCCTGCCTCCGTACCTGTCTCTATGCCTGTTTTTGTGTCTGTCTCCTTCCAGATTATTGACTCTATGGGTACCACG